AGGACAGCTACAAACGAACGGGTATTTAAGTGAGAAGTTTTATTACATGCTCAAATACGTTTGTACCCATTTCCCTACAGTATTCCAGAAATATGCATTTTTTTGACAGCAAATTACGTAGTACAGTGGTGCGATTTGCACAATTCTGGCAGTCGTCACAATATGCGTTTTGTACAGCTGTTACACAGTATTAAAATTCATTAAAAGAAAATAAAAGCAGCTGCAATTCATCGTGTCCCTTCTCCTCGTTTTTACCAATTTTTCTTTCGAATGAGAGAAATTTTGGGGCTTTTCACAGCAAAACAACAGCTACCCGTAACATCTTTTGTTTTACACGATGAACTTTGTTGGGTGAACGGTCTTTTAAAATACATCAAGCAAATGGGCAACCGGCTCCACTGGCACATTTTTACCTGCTCTCACAAGCCAAACTCTCTTGCCCCTTAGCACAGGGATGGCTCCGGGTTCTCTCTCTCTCTCACAGTGTGTCAGGGAGCTAACCTTTCAACTTCGATCGGTGTTCGTGGGATTGCTGCAGACGGTGATCGGGGATCAATATCAACACGCCGTACGATCCTCTTCGGCTGCGATGGCTTCGGCTCATCCGCATTTGCAAACGCCTCCTTTGTATCGTTGATAAATTTCTCAAGAAACTGACCCATCTCTCACTGTCTGTGACACCCTTCGAATCTCCTAAAAAGAATTTATTAAAAAAAAATGCTTTTGTTTTTATTATATTATTCGATTTGCATCGATAATGATAAGCAATTTGCCTGTGTATAGAACGAACCGAATTTGCTGTTAGCTTGGTTTATTGTTGTTAGTTGATGATGAAAATAGCAGTGAGTGGAAGAAGATTGGATTCTGAAACAAACAATTCAAGCATTCGTTGTTACTGGACAACGTTGGAGAATTTGCACGAAAGGACGTCAGCCAGAATTCCGAGGACCTCAACCCTTGCTCGACTCTAATGGCTGCTGGCTAGAGATTTTGGAACAACGGCGGCGGCGGCGGTGGTGGTTGTCGGCAAGAACCTCGAAATTCCCCGAGGATTCCAGGAAGAGGTACGGCTACCAACGTGCACTATACTACGGCTGCAACGCATTTCGTCCCAATTCGAATTTTCCAGAAGAAGAAGGTTGATCACTGGGTGCGCCAGTAGTTGGTCAACTCGAAGTGTGAACAATCAGAGAGGACACCAGCGATAGCGTATTTGCCAGTGACCACTCGTACAGTTTCACTCCTCTGAGCATCAAGCAGTAGC